CGGTTCAGAACCACCACCTCCACGGCACCATCGGGGCGCAGCAAAGCTGTGTACTCCAAGTCCGTCTTCTTGGACTCTTTGGAGGCAACAAGTCCCACGCGCTGGGAGCCCTCGGGGATGAACTTGCTGCACAAACAAGAAGCAACCCAAAGAAGGGAGTCAGACCCCAGAAGAGCTCCTCTCCCAACAAACCTGCCCTGCTCCCCTCCCGACAAGCTGCTACTACAACCATGGAGCTGGAGCCCGGGCAGCTGAGTGTGTTGGGGGGCCCCAACCCACCTGAAGTGCCCCATGTGATAGAACATGGGCTGCTTGTAGAAGACGTCCTTGCTGCTGTCCACGATGACGGGGCTGTCCACATAGTTCTTGACCCAGTTGGGGCCCCCCTCCAGGTGCAGGGCCAGGTTCCAGTCGGGGCCACAAAGTGGTTCAGGTTCTGCAACAGGACAGCCCAGACGTCTGCCCACAGAGTGCGGTGCCGACAGGAGAGGGAACGCCCCGGCAGCCCTCTCTGGGGCCCACCGCACAGGGCGACATAGAATCATAGAATAGTTTAGGTTGGAAAAGACCTAGGTTGGATCATCCAGTCCAACCATTAACCTAACAATACCAAGTCCCCACTAAACCAATTAAAGGTAGACTAGACTAAACCATGTCCCAAAGTGCCACGTCTGCCCGTTTTTTGAACGCTTCCAGGGATGGTGCATCCACATCTTCTCTGGGCAACCTGTTCCAGAGCCTTACCACCCTCACAGTAAAGAATTTCTTCCCCAGGATCACGTCCCTCTCCCAGAAATGGGCCCCGATGCACGCCTCTGTGGCCAGGATGAAGTAGTCAGGGAAGAGCTCATGAGTGGGCACCACTGTGTCCTGTATGGGACCGATGAAGTCCAGGTACCAGTGGATGCCAATGCCGTGGACGTAGCGAGCTGCCTCTTCATCATCCAGGAACTGGCAGCGAACTGGCCACCACCGGGTCCCGTGGGGCAGAGAGCCAGCACCCCAGCCCTCACACTGTGGGACGGAGCGGCTGAGCCCTCCGCAGGGACATGCTGTGCCAGCAGGTCTAGGGCTCCGTCCCGGCTTGCCGTGCTGGCCGACCCCACGCCACGCTCACCACTTTGGCCCAGTGTGGGAGGTGGAGCCGGTTGTCGTCCAGGATGATGAGCTGGACATGGCGGTGGGAGCTGTTGGCCAGCGCGGGGCCCAGGTCCTGTGCAATGAAGTCCCGCTGCTGCTCGGCTGTGAAGCCCAGGCACTGGAAGGGGTAGTTGTTGATCAGCCCGGCTGAGGGCTCGTTCTCCGCTGTCACTGCCCAGAAGGTCAGGTTGTGCTTGGCGTATTCGTCCAGGAACCTGGGCGCCGGGGAGAGGGGTGAGCCGTGGGGTCTCCCGGGTGCCACTGCTGAGGATCCCCTGGGCGTCTCCCCCGTCCCCTCGCACCAGGCGCTCCTTACCGTACAAA